CAAATATTGAGTCTTACTCCACACACTGAAATCGACAACAAACTGCATGCGCGAAAGAGGAAGTCAAATAATTGTTTTCCTAGACCGAAAAAATACTCAAAAGTACTTCTTCATACCTTAAAACGATTCCTTGGTATGTCTAGCTATTTTATATTTAATTAGTTAAAATATTTTGGGAGTCAAACTGGAGTTTAAAATCCGCGCGCAGCTCGACTTTTCGGGCCATAATTACGATAGTTAACTAAGTATGCTTTGGTGTACAGTCAATTCAAAAAACGTTGTCGTCGACCAACTCAAGCCTACGCGACTGGACCGAAAGGAAAATGGGTAAAATTCACTGAAGCGGTTAAATATTCGTTCTGAATTAATTGTTCCCGCTAGTAATAAGATATTGGCGAGAACAATCCATAAAATGCATGTCTTTGGGTTTAGGGAAAGTAAAACAAAGTAGTTATGATTCAGTTCACAATTTCGAAAATGTGAAGGCACCAAAAAAACATCTCCTCCAACACTTCCCGCTCGCCTACGAAGGTTCGTGCTGTAAACCAGGCATAACTAGTCAGATAAAATTATGGAGTCAACTCGGCTTCAATGATTACTACCCAGAGTTCCTTTCGGTCCAGTCGCGTAGGCTTGAGTTGGTCGACGACAACATTTTTTGAATTGACTGTATGGTTCTGAAATGGCACATCGGTTGTGCTATAATACTAAATGAAAATAATCTATATTCAAACGTTAAGTCAAAAGTAAAAGCAACTTTTAACGAATATTATTTCAGTGTCGTTTGAAGGAACTTTGCCGAGAACTTTCACCATAAGACTTTTGATAAAATGCCAGTAATAATAACTTGTAGATTTCCAACTACCTTCATGAATATTTAAATTCAAATTCCCCCTGATTACGTTCACGTTGGTCGTCTTACAAACAAGATGTCGTGTTCCTTCAAGATCATATGCGGAGGAGAATGCGGCGCAGAAAATCGTGCGAGAAAAGCTGAAACCGTAATTCCATTAGTGTCTTGCTGTAAAGAAATAGCGAATCATAAGAAATCGTTCGATTTTTTCGGTATAGAGACTGAGGTGGACCTCATACTTGCTCGATGTGGAATTTTCAATTCATCGCGTTCAAATACTCAAGAGATGACTATTTGTCCATCGCATCGATCAAGGCTATGAATTGGTTGGAGAAGGACAAGGAAGTCATGCTGTATGCCCCCCTCGGTTTCCAAACACGCGAGAGATTCAAGACGTGCTCCATTGGCACAAAGGGGAATCAATTTCTTTCAGTCTCGCAAAATAATGGAGATAACAAACGAGCTTTGAAGCAATGAAAAACTAATTTATTTATGAGATGTTATAATTTGTTGCTGTTATGAAATGTTTACTGCTCTTATAGTGTTGGCTTGTTAGGCGATGGTATATACTGATTTAAGTCAATGGTTAATGAGTTACTAAGTGTTCATGATAGGGGTATCTCTCAATATGTTTGTGCATGTCATGCTCATAAGATAAATATATAGTGATAAAGAACTAGAACTGCTCGAAGCCTATGCTGAAAGTTATGCAATAGCACAGCATTGGAGCACGCGGCGACAAATTCTGTTGATGATGGCTGACAAAATTACCTTCAAAGAACTTAAGCAACATATTCCTAAGCTGACCCCATATCGTTACAGCATAGCTCGTCGGCACAGACTGTTACATGGCCGAGCAGCACCGCTTCCAAGTTGGGAAAACAAAAGAATGAGAATTGATCCGTCTCAGTTAGAGCATTTTGTTTCTTTTATTACAAGCCCTCACGCTATCCAGGATGTTCCTTTTGGAGAGAGGCTTCTAAAATTATCTACTGGTGAGATCGTCAAAACTCCCAACGTCATCAGGACAATGATACCAGAGCGTGTTGTGCAGCAGTATGAGCAATACTGTAAAGAAACAACCTTTAAGCCCAGCATGAGCAAGCGAACACTACAGAGAGTWTTGACCGTTTGTTCTGCTTCTACTCGTACATCTCTCCAAGGACTTGATAATTTTTCAGCACAGGGAAGTGACGCCTTTGACGAGCTTGACAGCCTTGTTGACAAACTAATTGATTGTGGAAAAACTCAAATTTGGGGCAGAGACATCAAGCAACAATTACGATCATCACAACAGTACCTGAAGGGTGATTATAAGGTTGGTATCTACCGAATAGAGTAACATTCGTTGCCTGTGTAAATTTACTGAAACCTTAATTTAATCAATTGATCCGTTTAATCTCTTTTTTTGGTTGCATGTTGCTGAATCGTCGACCATTTCAGATCAWTGTCGCGTTTATGCGCTTAGTGAGCCGAACGACGCAGACTTCAAAGGCGATTGTGACCATCTCCACCTTGATTCATGTGCGCAATGCTCTCAGTTGAAAAACGTATTTCGCATCWTGGAAAATGAATGCGCCACTACATCATGTAGTGATGGAGAAGAGAAAAGTGACAGGGCGTATGTGCTCCAACGCGCTAAAGATGCTATCTTGTCCTGGAAAGCCCATCTATTGCGATCTGTCCACCAAGATAAGGCAAAGCATTCCGTCCTAAACAAACTTGATAGCAAATCTGTGCTCTTGGTACAAGACTGGGCAGTGAAGTACATACCACGGAAATTCAGAGAAGCCCAGTCTGACTGGTTTCCCAAGCGTGGTCTCCCATGGCACATTACGGTTGCTGTTCGGAAATCACAAGATAACAAGCACCTTGAGTCTACAACCATTGTTCATGTGTTTCAAAGCTGTACACAAGACAGCAGCACGGTGTCTGGCATAATGGTAGATGGTCTTCGTTTGCTGAAAAAGGAAATGCCTTACCTGGAAAAAGCGTACTATAAACAAGACAACGCTGGCTGTTATCATAGCGGAAATAACATTGTATCTGCTAAGCTGGCTGGTGATCTAGCTGGCGTGACTATAATAAGGAATGACTTTTCGGATTCCCAGGAAAGGGGGCGTGCGACCGCCAAGCAGCCACAATTAAGGGAGCCATTGGAAGGTATGTAAATGAAGGCCATGATGTAAACAACGCTTTACAGCTCAAAAATGGTATTGAATCAGGACAAGGACTAACTGGAGTTAAGGTCACCTATGTTGCTGCTACAACTGCTAGCACACTTTCATTGAAGTGGGATGGTATAAGCCTGCTAAATAACTTTGAATACGAAATGAATGGTATTCGAGTATGGAGAGCATTCAATGTTGGTCCAGGCCGGTTAGTGCCTTGGGATACCTTTGGTGTATCTACTGAAAAACTCTGTGCTTTAGAAACCCTGAATTCAACATCTTTGGCATCTGACCCCGCCTTTCGAGTTGTCAGACACCGATACACCAAGGAAACTTCAAATTCAGTTTGGTGAAAATGAGGGAGAAGGAGAAAAGGAAGAAGCAGAAGAAGAAGAGAAGGAAGAAGAATATGAGGAAGAAGAAGAAGAAGAAGAAGAAGAATTAGATGATGATGATGATGATGATGATAATGATGAAGCCATGTTATTTACGTGTCCAGAAGAAGGTTGTATAAAAGCATACAGCAGATTTTCTTCTCTTCAAAATCATCTTGATAAAGGAAGGCACAAACGAATGCCTGAGCACGAAACCCTATACGATAAAGCAATTAAGAGAATACGCCTTTAAATTGACAGAGGGAGCTACCCGAGTTCCAGACGTTCAATGTGAAGCGGTTGGTGGGAAGGAAGATTTGACTGCTCTTCCAACGGGCTGGGCCCTCAAGTCTGCGAAGAAAAAGAAGCGTTTCACATCAAAGCAGACTGCCTTCTTAACTGAGCAGTTTCAAATAGGAGGAGTCAGYGGAAGAAAAGTAGACCCCCAAGAAGTTTCCAAGGCAATGGCTGTAACCCGACGTACCGACGGAGCCCGATTATTTCCCCCAGATGAAGTGCTTACTAAACAGCAAATATCCGGTTTCTTTAGTCGCCTCTCTGCAAAGAAGCGTCTCAATTGCCCAGTTGTAATGGAAAATGACGATGAAGATATATATGCAGCAGAAACTGAAACACCTTGTGTGCCAATGTAATGATGGCGGTGCAGTTAAGTCACCCGATTATTTGCTTCGATTTCAATACCTGTGAAATGGTTCAGAAGAACAAGTTATCAAAACTATGTGTAGAGGAGTTGAGGAACGTTTDCATCGAGCTTGGAGAAGATGTTGAAGACCTTTCCCAAAGAAGGAAAAAGCCCTACATTGAACGAATAAACAATATTGTCAAAACCTGTTGTTCATGTACTGCGTAAAGTCTGCATTCTATTCAATCCGCACAAAGGTGTTCTATGCTCGACGGCGTGTAAAGGTCGGGAGTTCGTGAAGAGTGGATTATGAAGCGGATTGATCGTACTGAAACAAGACACCAAAAAGGTTTGCATAAAACCACGGAATCAGGAAGAGAATACTGAATCCGTACGTATCCGTACTGAATACTGAACAAATACGTAAAAAGTATTTGAATTTAAATATTCATGAAGGTAATTGGAAATCTACAAGTTATTATTACTGGCATTTTATCAAAAGTCGTATGGTGAAAGTTCTCGGCAAAGTTCCTTCAAACGACACTGAAATAAACTTTTGACTTAACGTTTGAATATAAATTATTTTCATTTAGTATTATAGCACAAGCGATGTGCCATTTCAGAACCTTACGATACACCAAAGCATACTTAGTTAACTATCGTAATTATGGCCCGAAAAGTCGAGCCGCGCGCGGATTTCAAACTCCAGTTTGACTCCCAAAATATTTTAACTAATTAAATATAAAATAGCTAGACATACCAAGGAATCGTTTTAAGGTATGAAGAAGTACTTTTGAGTATTTTTTCGGTCTAG